ACATTATCGTTAATACATTGTGCTATCTGCAATCATATATTAAAATGCCTTATGTTAAACATTCATGGGATCGGTTCCTAACACTTCTTGTCTTTTACAAAATATACTATATTTTCTGTTTTAGCTTTAACATAAAATATAGTACACTAACTATGTATCATACACATTCACATATTAACAAGACAACAAAAGTTCATTCCGGTCAGTACGTAACTCCATCAAGACCGGATTGCACGGCGAATAGCAGTCCATCCCTACTTCTCGTTGCCATAAGGACTATTTAAGCAGGTCATAGTTCCACAGTACATGAGCATTTGCAGAATATATCCGTAAAGTATCATCTTTCTAACTACTCCAGATCTCCCAACACAATATTGTTAAACGATGGAAATTTTTCAATTCAGCAGTTGAAGAGAAACCTGTCTTGCTGATCACGTGAATGAACGACTGGGTGTTGCTGAAAAAAATTCAAAACACCTCGGTTCAGTGGCTTTCAATGTTTCTTAGCTCGACCAAACACCGGGATGGCTTGTCCCTGGCAACGGTTGCAAGGAAAAGTGCAACTGCTTAATATATCGATCACAAGTGACCTTCACGAGAAAAACAATGCATAGAATGAACGTTAACATAAATGAATCAAGTGTTCTGATGTTACGCTTAAAGGTGTCACGCCAAAAATAAACCATTTGCAGGCCAACGTTTTAATACAGTACATATCAACATAGATATGAAACTTTTTACGACACGGAAACTACGTGCATAAAATTTTTTTACGTTCCATATACATATGTTTGCACGTATATATAATATCATAGGTACATAGTATAGAACAATATTTTCCGAATTAAAAGATTCTTTAGCATATTTTTTGTATTGCAATAATCAATCCCGTAAGATAAAACATAACGACAACGGAATTAATCTACCGTGTAAAAGAACAGATTTCATTTTAGAAGTCCATGAACAATATTAAAAAAGGAACATTCGAGATGCACCAAGAAAAGCGACGACCGCTGGCAGCAAATCAGGACTCATCATGTAAGAAACGGAAGGACAGCAGAAATACACCAGATCGTTCATATCGACAAGTGGCTTGTCAGTTTGAGATGCAAGATCGTTGCGAATCCTGCTTCAGATTCAACAGTGCATGTGCACTGCTTAAATAAGAACGAAAATATTTAAATAATCAATAAAACATATATGTCTAAGTAAATAAATAGCATTGGGTGCAAAGTGTAATCGAAAATTATATCTGGTATTGGTTCCCTCATGAATATAAAATTAGATATTTAAATTGCGTTATTTCGAAGTGTTGAGAAAATAAATTGAAATGATTGTGACATAAAAAAGAACAAGAACGTGTTGTGAACAACGCGCCAAGGCCGAGACGATAGCATATCCAAACTGTTCACGGCAAGAGCTAAAAAAGCGAAAACGCGACGGTCAGAAATGGCAACAAGTTAGCGAATAGGAGACACGGTAAAATGAGCAACAGGCAACAGTTGGTGGTAAAAGCACTGCTCCGAACGTGCTGCTGGCCGTTGCTTCGCTCGAAGTTTAGACAAACACGGATAAGACGTTGGATAACAGGCCACTCGGCTGAATGTCAGTTTGCAGTTGAGCCACGACCGTTTCTACGCAACCGTGACTCACTCACAAACGGGTATTGAGCAACTGATTAGTCATAATTCAACACTGGACCAAGACAATTATGTGCCATACGGTACACGCTCAACACAGCCAATATTGAAACAACTCGGACAATTTAGGAGGCTTCGGCATACGCTGAGTGTTGATGGTTCGGATATGGAAGTGAAATAGCTTAGCAGCCACAGAGGGGACAGAATTGCTAGGACAGTTCGGCTGGGGCAGGAGGGGTAGCAGTAGGAGTAGGGAAAGCGTTCGGTTAGCACTAAGGATTGTTCGACTGCAGGGCACTGAACCATGATGGGTCGTACAATAACCCTTTTCGTCTGCCATCAGGGCAAAGTACTAGAGGCAAGACCTTACGAATGAACAAACAAACATCCTTCTAGAGAAACAACTTTGGCGGTCCCAAACAGTATGGTCGCAATAAAAACCAACGGAATGAGAGCTACCTCGCGCGCTGAGCCTTAAAATCTTCAGCAAAATCGCCCGCATTCCGATGATGTTTGTGCGATAACAGTATGACCAGTACAAATAGAAGATAATTCAGGAAGCTGATTGGCTCAAGGTTACATGACCATGAAGAAACCATCATGCGCCTAAAATCTCATTCGTCAATTGGCGCATAACAATTAAAAAGCCAACTGTTCCAGGAAACTCTTTGGCCTTTTGCAGAAAACGAACGAACACGGAGCAGCGCTCATCGCGAAGAGTATTTGTGATAGTTGTGCATACTTGGCATTGTCTAAATAAAACGTGCACGACAGAATAACAGCGAGTGTCACAGAATGAACGGCAACAAGAAGACCAACGCAAAGTTCGAAAGCTACTCCCACCCAAAAAAGCAAGATACCTGCTCTGCTGTTAGCTAAAACGCTTTAGTCAACCCGTCAAGTTGATGCCAGATTTTAGCGACAGTCAGCACTGTAAGAAATTCGCCGAACAAGGAAGTTATTGATGACGCTGATAGAAGCTAGGCGAAAAGTTTTTCACTCATCAGCCCACGACAATTATGATACATTCTAAGACAAAAAGACTGGGATGGAGGTCACCATCCGTATTACTCCTGAGCGAATACTGTTTCTCGCCACGTTCATCGAACAGCGGGTGAAGACCTCCACTTTAGTGAGAGAGGAAGATAGAAGAGCTGTAAAATCATGAGGGATAATCTTTAAGAATGCAAAAAACAAAACATCCTTTGTGTCAGCTTGGTGGTTAAGAAAGCCTAGACACAATCATATAAAACGTATCGAATGAAATTCCCACTGGTGTATGAAATTCGGCATAAAATGTCATACACGCCGAAGCCAAACATTCGTATATGTTCAAAACATCATTATCTCACATTATTAGTTAACTCCCAATTACTTTTTCTGCACATGTCGTGAAATTTGTTGCAAACCACAGTCCAGAGCCTTGATGAACAACCCAAACGTTTTCATTTGATCCTTCCGACCCAGTTCGCAGCCGGCGGTACCCGAATGGCGATACCAACCACAGACAAACGTCAGTCATCGTTCACGAGATTCCACACAACGCCCGCGGAAACTTAGAGGTGAAAGAAGCGGCGTTCACTCGACAGATGAATTGACAAAATCTTACCATAATGTGTATATCGTGACAACCCCCGCATTTTTCATACCCAGGGCTTCAAAAAATAAAAATGCATATTTTTTCAACCAATGGCTTGAACTGGTTAGCTGTCGTTGTGAGTCACGTCGTGAAGTCGGTAGTGTGCAATGTTCCGTGGCCAACAAATGAAATTTGTTGCATTGGAAAATCTAATCACACTTCTAACAACAGACACAACGAGTAAAACCTACCGCTTTGAGTTTCATTGAATATGCTGAGGGAAGGGTCACTCCATTCAGGATGAATGGCTTTTCGATGCTATTCCATCATGTGCATGCATTAACCGTCAGTGTCACCTCAAAACTGATCAACATGATACATGATCACACGTTCAAGATTAAGGTTTATGATACACAGATCGAAAAATCGCAATTACTTTACTAACCTTTCTATACTTTACAATTTTACACTTAATGCTTCCAATGGTCATAATTCATTATAATATAAATATAATGGCTGATGTGAAAGCATTTTGAAGCTTTATCAAAATATCATTTTTAATACGATACACGATGAAATGCTTAGTCCTGTGTAGCTATATTTCAAGGAATAAATTCAATTCAGTAGATGAAAAAAGTTCTGCAATAACGTTTTCGCTAGAAACTAATTGCATAAAAGTCCTATTTCTTCTGTAATACATGGCGTAACCATTGTTTCCAGGAAAATACTAAAATTATAGACGAAATGTTGAATGCCACCACTGCACAAACATGCTGCCACAAAAGTGTTGCCTGTTCAAAAGGCTTCCTACGTCTCTAGAAGTAAGAAGACGACGCGATTATCAATCAATCAAAAGACTAGCTGCTTACTTAGAGACAATGACGTGAAATTATCATCGACAAACATTTTGTATGACGGAACCTTTGTAATTTTTCCGTAAAATTTTCACGATAGGCTAGAACTAAGGTTCAATATAGAGCATTTTCCAAGCTGAATTAAACTAACTTACTTACTCCCTCTGGTTTATTATATTATCCTTAACGAAATTTTGAAAATAACAATTTTTATCAGATAACGTTAATTTAATATGCTTTATTTATCCCTTAAGACATTAATCACTAAAGAACTTCAGCTTTCTCTCCATTAAAGCTGCGGTTACAGACCATTTATTATTTAAACACTTTGTGAGTGAAAGCTGAGACATTTCATAGTTAGGTCACAATAATATTTATCAATGTTAGTAGGTTAACAATAAACATCAGCTTCACAGCGGTGCCAGAGTTTACTATTAAGAAATCAAAAACAGAAAACACCATTGGCACAGATGGTAAAAAAATATGGTTCAAACAATACTGTTGAAAAACTTTGGAAACAATTTAGGGATCGTTTACCGGATCATAATTTCGAAAAGTTTCATAAAAATTTCGACCGAAAAGGGAACATGCGTTGCATACCGATACCTCTTTAGCTCGTTTGAAGAAAACATAATCGTAGAAGAAATAATCCCACGCAAA